CTTATTCCTATTATTATTTCCATTTATCGCCGTCTACAGCTTGTCAGTTTACAGCCCACCCATATAACCCCCTATTACCAGGTGCACGTAAGACAGAAGGACCTTGGCTTCCCAACCTGGGCTTGGCCTCACTAATCATTCTCGCCCGGTCCTCTATTACCAAGCATCTACTAGACAGCGGTCAGTCTGTCGACGTCAAAACAGTGTTTCGAGTACTTGCTCGGGCCCAAACAAACCGAACTTCGCGCTATTTGGAAGCTGCCTACTTACGGTGGGAGAAATCCGACCTATGCATGCAGCTTGACTATGTTGTCAACCTCCGATTGCCTTGATAATTGGTCATTCAATTTAATTCCCAAGTTTTTTTCGTTAACTTCCCTCACCCACTACTTTCCATACGTTGACTTAACGCACTGTCCTTTATCGATTATTGTTTAGACTGAACCACGTTCGTTCCTTTTATGCCATTAATTCTGTGAAATTTTCAGTTGTTCTATGTCTCCTCGTTATCTACCTCATGCAGCGACAAGATACAGCTGAGAAGCTTTCGCGAAATTTATTGATAGCAAACACCTGTGCCGACACCCCCGTGTCATGCATGCTGGTTGGGAGGCTAAGAAGGTAAAATAACGGTTGTGGTGTTGGATCCGCTGCCGTAAGACAGGGCTGTTTATTATAAGAATCTGTCATAGGGCGTTGGCTGCGCTAAACTCAGGGACAGCTGGGATCTATTGCTAGGGCTGAAGTAGACAGACATATAAGTGCCTGCTAAGGCAATGCAAAACTGCTGAAAAGGTCTCCTAGAGGCTGGTTTCAAGCAGAGTAATGGCCTTGATATTAATGTAATGAAATAAAATTTCTCTAGATTGTAGCACACAATCAAAGAAAAACAGCTCGTCGGTGTCACAGAATCTTTTACGAGGAACTTATTCTGAGCCGCAGTAAGTTGGTTGTTCTCTGACAGATGACGCACTATCTTGTCCTTGATCAAGGTCTTCAAGAAATTCGAGGCTGTGGGAAGTGTATTTATTGCTCTAAACTTATCAAAAGAAGTCGATTAGCCGTGCTTGAGTATAGGGAAGTACGACCGGCTGCAGAAGTAAGACGGAAAAGCCAAAGAAGGCAGGGTAGGTGTAAATGAATTCGACAAGTGAATGAATAGCTAACAATTACTTCTAAAGTTATCAAAAGAAGTCGATTAGCCGTGCTTGAGTATAGGGAAGTACGACCGGCTGCAGAAGTAAGACGGAAAAGCCAAAGAAGGCAGGGTAGGTGTAAATGAATTCGACAAGTGAATGAATAGTTAACAATTACTTCACCAGGCCCTGTTCGTTGTGGTTTTGTAAACATGTGGTAGGGTAGACGTCGACAGTGTTAATGTTTTGTGGACCTTAACGCCACTGTTGACTCATCACGCTAACGCTGCGGTTACGCTGATGGCCGGCCCCCGGTACCTCTATCGCCCAAGGTCTGAGTGACTTAAGAACACACCCTTTCTCGCGTGCGCTCACACTGCACCCAGCGCGAAGTCTTACTAGCGTCCCGAAGTGCTCTGGACCAATTAGTTTCCTAAAAAGCTTTTTGGTCCCCAGTCAATTCTGCACTGAGAAGGGGCTTGGGACTCCGACTTCGTGTGGCGCGGTCGCGGCGACGCAATCCTCTTTCACGGACCTCACGGTCGGATGC